ATTGCTCTTTTGTCTTGTGAGTGGTCTCAGCAGTACACTTTGGGCGGTATGCTAAAGAGCTGTTCCTTCCCCCAGGGAATGGCACCATTGATTTCCCAGAATTCCTCACTATGATGGCCCGGAAGATGAAGGACACAGACAGCGAAGAAGAGATCCGCGAGGCCTTCCGGGTCTTTGACAAGGTGAGGGGTGTATTTTTCCATAACACACTTCTCAGCAACGTACAAAGGGAGTGAGTTTTAAGGCCACGCATTGGCTTTGAGACAAACAAATATGATTTTCTACTTGAACAGGTTCTACAATGTTCTATGCTGAAGTTACGCTTTGGTAGAATATCTCCATCTTCCACTTCCTTATTTTTGTTGAGGCTTGATGTAATCCAAGCCCACCAGCCTCCTGGATTTTTTAAAATTATTTTTCATATGTGCGTGTGTGCATGTCTGTACACCTGGAAGTCATGGCGACCTCTGGTGACTGACCCCTACTGGGGGCCTGGAGGATATTCAGAGAGGTGGCTGATTAAAGGCTGCCTCCGCCTCTGGTATTCCAAGGTCTCTCATCCAAGTACTTGCCGGAGTCGACCCGGCTTAGCTTCCGAGATCTGACGAGATCGGGCTTGCCTGGGCTATCCAGGCCAGGGCTGACCTCCTGGATGTGATCCTCTCATTGCTTGAGCAGAGGGTACTTGTGATGGGGGCCTTCTCTTTTCCTTCCTGCAAGACTGAGGTGAAGGTGATTCTGCCGGATTCCCCCTCCTCACTGCTGCCCATTCCCGTACATGTCTTTTTGTCCACAGAGGCTCTACAGCCCTCTGCGGTGCCTTTGTGGGTTGGAGAGGGCTACTGGGGGAAGGGGAAGGGGAGGGAAGGTCCACTCCTATGAGTACCTGTTGCTCATGCAACTGTATGATCCAGCCTGCTGTGTGAGATCCATGAAGAATATATTCCCAAATGTTAAGGCACCTGCATCTGTTCTCACCGCCTGGCTGATTGTGACTTTATGGTGGAGTCTCTGCTCTGCCTGCAGAAGGTCCCAGGTCCAGTCCCTTTCATCTCCAGTTAAAGGAAGGTGAACAGCAGGTGTTGAGAGGCTTGCCAATCACATTACATCATACTAAGCTGGGTGGACGAATGATGTGATGGTAAAGGGCTCGTATATTTCTATTTGATGCTTCCTGGCATTTGAGCTAAGGGACTCTTCTTCCTCTAACCCACCCTTTCGTTCTTCTGTTCTAAAGGATGGCAACGGCTATATCAGCGCTGCAGAGCTGCGTCACGTCATGACCAACCTGGGCGAGAAGCTGACAGATGAGGAAGTCGACGAGATGATCCGAGAAGCTGACATAGATGGGGATGGACAAGTCAATTACGAAGGTGAGGGTGCCCCGTAGGGAGCTGGGGAATCTACGTTGGTGGGATGGGGCAGCTTCTTGAAGCCTATGGAGGCAGCAGATATGTTTATCCTCCATGTTTTTTGTAATATAATTCTCTTAACAAGAAATTGCCCACATTTCCAAGATCACTGTGAAACAATGAGGGCCAGGGACATGCATGGATTTTAGCAAAAGGGAGATCCTTGGGACTCCAGGGTTGGTACAGGATTACATATACAAGGCCACACATGCGAAGTGTCATTCTGTCACACTCCCCACTTGTCTTCTTGGGATAACTGCTTAGGATCATAGAATGTTAAGAGTTGGACGGGACCTTGCAGGTCACCTAGTCCAACCCCCTGCACTCTGCAGTCTAAACAAGGGCTGATTCGTGACTAGTGTTGCAGAGATGGGGCTTTAACTGCAGTTGCCCTACCTTTGAACTTCCTGATTTCCTTCCCCTCCCTGTCTCTTTGGTTCTTTCCGCAGAGTTTGTACAGATGATGACTGCCAAATAGGAAGAGCGACTGCCACCCCTCCCCTTCCCTGTACAGAATGGAAGGACTGCTTACCATAGAGATCTCACCCAGCCCCTCCCGTCTGTGACACTCATGCTCCATCAATGCTTTAGCGGTTTGTGGCCATTCTCTGCCATCCCCCCCCCCTTCCACGCAGGACTATGTGAACCCTTCTGCCCCCCCCCGCCCTTCCCTGCCATGTTTACATGCTAGCACCCATAGTGGGTGCAGCTGGGACGGGGGTGGGGGGGAGAGCCAGGTGAGGATGGGGGGAAGGCGGTGCTAAGATCCTAGCAGGGGGAAGCCTGGAGGGCAGGAGCGGTGGGGGGAGTCCTCCCTCCTCATTGGCTCCGTCCCTGGCTTGCACCTGCCTGTTTGTCCAAAGGCCACGTCCCAGCCAGCGCGTAATCTTTGCATCCCATGGACTGTCATGTGCGGCTGACTGCAGTTGTCTTCCTGGGAGTATCTGCATATCTTGGGTATATTGTAACTGTTAACTTCCTAATAATGGCCATGCCCCCCCCAAACCCTTCCTTCCCAGTGGCTTCAGGGAATGCTTCTGTTCCATTCCAGGTGGTGTAAGGTTTCTTTCTTTCTTTTTTCTCTTTTCTTTTTCCAATAAAGTCTGTGTGTTTCAAAACTGGGGGGTCAGTGTAGCTCATTGAGTGAAGGCATGGGTGGGTTCTATCACCAGCTTGGAAACAGATCTCTTTCCGGGGGGGGAGATCAGCTCTTAGCCACTCTTCAGTCCCAGCAATCAGTAAGAGAAACAGGATTTTCTCACAGCTGCTTGTGCAAACCTCCATTTCTGTTTTCTTTAAGCTTCCTCCAGATCGTGAGTTGGTTTGGCGGGGAGGGGGAGAGTCAGAATGATAACACAGTCTTTTGGAGATGGGGGGGGAGTATATAGCAGGATCACACCTCTCTTAAGGTGCCCTCAAAGCAAGAGGATAAGCTTCCTCCAGATCATGAGTTGGTATGATAACGCAGTCTTTTGGAGATGGGGGGGGGGAGTATATAGCAGGATCACCCCTCTCTTAAGGTGCCCTCAAAGCAAGAGGTGAGGGACTGGAGTCTGAGTCTTTTTTGGCTACAATAGAGGGGGAGCTGGGGGAGGGGACTGGAGTCTGGTGGGTTTCTTTCCAACCAAATAACACCAAACTGGCCGGGGACCTAGTGCTGCCTGTCCACTAAAGACCTCCCAAATTGAAGCAAATTGGTTCAAGGGATTCAGTTCTATGGGCCCATGAACAAGGTGCCCTCAGCAATCCTATCTGCCTCCATTGTTTCCTATGGGGAGAAAAATTAAAGACACTAACAGCCGAACACACAAGAGCAACCACTGGCCAAAAGCCCTCCAAATGCAAACAGGCTACAAGCCCAATAGGACCGATGTCATCCCAGAGAATCCAACCAACCTTGTTTGTTTTTAAAATACCTAACCCTCATCTACAGTTAACTGTTATTAAAACCTGACCAGAAATTTACTTCAGAACTTGCTGCAACCGTTATATTTTTAAATGTCAACAAGGAACACCCTAAAACTCCACAAAACGCTTCCCCAAATAACACAACACAGAAAGATCTTTAAAGCAACTGTGGAAAAATAACTATAAAACCAGAACCAGAAGAATGCACAAAGATAAAACTTTTAAAAACAATAAAAACTTGGGGAATCTCCCCCAGCACAAAACCTTTAAAAATTAAAAACCTTTGAGAAACGGGGAAAATGCGAAATGATAAAATAAGCCTAGAGAACAGCAGAAGAACAGTGCAAAAAAACCTGAAGGAAATTTATTTTTTAAAGAACCAGAATGAAAAAAGCTCCCAGCCCCCCAAACAAAAAGGGGAAAACAGGAAATATTTTAAAACTAATGAGAAAAACAGACCTGAAGAGTATCATCAAAAGCATTAGCACCATCCCAAGACCTCTCACCATGGAGTCCAGCTTGCACACCTTTTATTTTCTTTGCCCATGCATAGAGTGCCATGGAGCACCACGGGAATTGTCATGATTGGGCAGACAGTTTGTGCTCCTAAAGTGTGATTCCATTGCCTGGGAGAGCTGCCTCCTTCCCCACTCCCTCTGGTTGCTCCCAGGAGTTCTGTAAACTTGAAAAATAGCCCAGGGAGCCTAAATAACCAGCCCTGAATATTCCCAGATTTACCCGAATATTTCCACATTTTCTGGGACGTTAAAAGCATAAGCCAGGCTGGATCAGGCCAGTGGCGTATCCAGTCCAACACTGTGCCACACAGTGGCCAAAACCCAGGTGCCATCAAGAGGTCCACCAACGAGGCCAGGACACTAGAAGCCCTCCCACTGTTGCCCTCCAAGCACCAAGAATACAGAGCATCACTGCCCCAGACAGTGTTCCAGCTATACCTTGTGGCTAATAGCCACTTATGGACCTCTGCTCCATGTTTATCCAGTCCCCTCTCAAAGCTGTCTATGCTTGTAATCTAGTTAATTGGTATCCTGAATATGGTCTGTGTTCCTGAATATACCTGAAAAATACCGTTAAAGTTTATATTCAGACTTGATGTAGCCCAGTGGTCTTCCCTAGTCACGAGTAGCTGCCACAGTGGCAGCAGTCAGTGGTGACCCCTCCCTCAGAGCTTCCTGGGGGCACTAAAAAGAGAACACTGACTCATTTGGAGTTCTACAGTTGTTTCTGTTGCTTTCTGGCTTGTTAGCTATGCAAGGCTTCTTTCTTGGACGTGGAAACAGGTGGGCTGTGTTTACCGCAAATGCTAACTTTTGATGTTTTTGCCATAGTTTGGATTATCGCAGGGCCCAGGAGACCTGCAAACAGCATCAAGGTTTAAGCTACCTGAGTTTAGGCAAAGGCTGGGAAAGGTTCCGTGGGTTCATTGTGGCCCTCTGCCTTTGCTAGACTTCTGTCATGCTTATGATGCAGATCAGGTGGGAGGCGGAGAGAGTCCTAGCTGCCAAGGAAGAGGCAAACACATTGGCTTCAGAGGCAGTTTTTATTTTGAAATAAAAAATACACATGGTTTGGTTGCATGGACGAGATGCCCCTGATGGCTGGTTCTTGGCCTTTTGTGCTGCTTAGAGAAAGACTTTTAAGAGTACACTCCACCCAGTCTCCCCACCCTCTCTTCGACAGAGAGGGCAGACATGGCAGTTAAGACATACACACACATATTACATACACACGCATACATATACCCACTTGCCCCAAGGAAGGGAGTCCCCCTCGCTCCCCAAATAAAACAGCTGCCAAGTGCAAAAAATTGTGAACGAGGGGGAGCAGCTGGCAAGACTTAAAAGAGGCTAACGTCTCTGCTACAGATTCAAACAGGTTTGAAACTGAATTTAACTCCTGCGTAGCGTCCTCTCAAAGGGCACAAGTGTCGTTTCTTCCTTGGTGAGGCTGTTCAGAATTTGTTGCCAGAGATCCCGGTGCCTCCCACTGTTTTCTGGGGTGAGGGTTGCCTCTCTTGAAATTGGTTTGACACAGGTTTAAATGAGTAGTGTAGACATGCCCAGATTTTCTTTCATTACTCCCAGTCCACTCACCTTTTCACCCAGATCTTATTCCACAGTTATGTGTGACCAAAATTGTTAGTTCTTTGTCCCTCACCTGACCATTCCTTAAGATGGTAGGGAACAATGGAAAAACACCCCTTCTAGGAAACACATCCATTTACATGTTCCCAGTCTAACGTTTGGAGAAAGGGACTGTGTCGTGTTATATGGGGGTGGGTTTGACCCTGGATCCTTTTTCTGGAAAGAAAGCAGTGCCTTTTCTCTCCCACCCCCAAGCAAGCAAATGGAAATTGTATTTAAAAAGTGCAAAAAGAAACTGGCTAAATGAAGACCTGGATATCGTAACAGATAAATAGGGTGAGACTGCCTTCTGCTGCTGCTCTTTATAATGGGAGATGGTTGGTGTTGAAAGCAATTCAGGAGGATGTCTCTTCTACTCATTTACAGTGGACACTGGCAGTCAATTAAACTATCGAATAGATCCAACTATTTCTAAAATCTCTATTGGGGGGGCAGGCAAGAACCCTCCCTTCTGCACACCCCGTTGAAGTTTCCAGGTAGTTCAGGTGTCTAATTGCACTCCCCTTTCAAAGTGCCAATCCTTTCCCCTCCTTTCTCAGCCCCTCTTTCAGAGCCTTTTCATGGTCTTCATATGAGAACATTTTTTGAAAAAAAAAATTGGGTTAAATAAACATGGATATAAACACAAACTCCGTTCTGGTCTTGCACACAGATGAGAATCAGCCTTCCGTAAGGTAAGGAGGGCAGCGTCTCAGAATCGTTCAGTATTAATTTACCCCTTAATTTTTACTTACAACATGCTAAAAGATGGCGATCCCCTGCTCCAGCATTTTTAAAAATGTTTTAGAACTGATGTTGCGGTGCTGAATTTTATTCCATTCTAACTAGCCAGAAATCACCAAAAGAAGGAATACTTCAAGCATGTGAGCAAGCTTTGGGAATGGAAGAATGTAAAGCAGAGAGAGGCTGTCTTTTTGGGCCAACAAGACTGTCTATCCCTGGTTTACTCTCTTCCATACAAATCAGGATTCTCAACCTGGCTAGGGAAGAGTGCAAACCATAGTTTGAGGTTTAGATTTAACAAATCAGGGTTTGCCACAAATCTGGAAGTCTAGGTGGCTGTGCGTAAAGGGAGAGGAGGAAGCATGTGGATCCAAGAAGCCCCCAAGGGCTTGTTCCCTGTAGTCACAAACCATGGTTGGTTGCTCCAAACCAAGCCATGCGGTAATTAGAATTTTCAGAGTGTTCTCCAAACACTCTTTTGAAGGCTGGCTGGCTGCGGAGGGGACCATGATTTAAGCATACTTTCTCATTGCTTATGACAGTGTTTGACGTAACACTGGAATAAATACTGTAAATGCAGCCGAAGGAAATAAAAAATCAGTCACCAAAGTGTAGCTTTCGGTTGTTTTTTAAAAAATAGCTTAATGTTGGAAATGGAATTCCTACAAAAGTGTTAGATTTTGATGACCAAAATCAGTTTTAGAATCCTAGAATCATAGAGTTGGGAGGGGCCATACAGACCATCTAGTCCAACCCCCCCTGCCCAATGCAGAACCAGTAAATTTACTGTGAATTTTATGGGGTTTCAACAATCACCTCTGCATTAGTGAAACTGGAATCTGTTGGCTTGCCGTGTTTAGCAGAATATAGAAACGTTTTAAAAAATCTAAAAGCCTTGATTTCTCCCCCTCTAATGTGTAAAATACTCTTTGGCCCCTGCCACACGGCAGGGGAAAAGCCTCTTAAGGCGCGGCTTTTAAAAGCCGCGCCAACGTTGAGGCGCCGCGGCGGGATCCCACCCTGGCCGCGGCGCCTTTTCTCCCCAGCGCGATCAAACGCCGGGGAGAAAACACAGCCCGAACGGGAGCCAGCTGAACTGCGCATGTGCGAGCATGCGGGTGTGATCGCGCTGCTTTGATCCGCCCCCGAACTGGCCCGCAACTGGCCCAAATCTCCTCGTGTGGACGGGACCAGTGTTAGGCAAAATCTCCTTTTCTGTTCTATAAAAGGGATTGCTTAACTGATTTGTGTTTTATTGACTGGGTGCAGCCCTTTCCTTTTAAAAATTTTCTTAAGGTAATAAAAAGGGTTAGATTCCTGCTCAGGGTCATGAATGAGCGATTCTCTTCACCCCGCCAATTCTAAATTCAAGTGTGCCATCTGAAAAACCTCTATCCCGCTCTCACCATTACTTTGTCAAATACAAAATAAGACCTTTCTCTTTCTAAAAATATACTCTCCCCTCTCCCCTTGACATTCCCTCCCCCTCAACCCTTCCCCCCCCCAGAAGTGCCTGAGCTTCCATTCTCCCAGTACAGTAGGTTCTACTGGGACATATAAGGCAGAAAACTGAAGATACTCTGCCCCATGTTGGCAGGGATTTAGGGGCATCCCTTGGCAAATTCCCTCCTTCCTGCAAAAAGTTCCTATTTGGCTTCTTAGCTTTCCCCTCCCCTGAACAGGGGTGCAAGAAGCCACATCTTCTATCAAATAAGACTGGGGACGGGACACCAACATGGGTTATGTTTCTTCCCTGTGATATCCTTTATTCCTTCCCATCCTTCTGAGGACAGGATTTTGGGTTGCTGCTTTTTTAAAAAAAATCTAGTCCTGTTCTGTGCCTTTCACAACAGTCTTAAGATGCAGAAATTAAGTCGGTGAAGCTTTGCCCAAACACTTTGATCTTCATGCTAGGAAAACCTTTACCTGCTCAATTTGTGTCCAGAAGGCCCCAAACAGGGCATGGGGGGGGGGGAGGGTACTGCTCAGAGGGGAAAAAAGATTCAAGGTCTGGCTTTGGGTGCAAGATGGAGTAGACTCCCTCCCTTATATTCTTATACAAATGACATTACAGGTAAAGAAAACATCCCCTCCCCCATCCAAGATGTTGTTTTTGGCTGGGCAATTGTTCCTTGCTCATCTGTCACCCTCGCCCTTTGCTCTCTGAATCCAGTCCCGGGACTTGGGAAAAGGGACCTGCCCTCTTGGCGCCTTGGGAGGACAGAGAGGCAGAGCCCGACTCGGCCTCGGGAAAGCCTCGCGGCAGATCCTGGACTGCCATCAGACGCGGAGCTTGATTTGGCATTGTAAAGAAGCGGGGGGCACCTCGCTCCTGACTGCCCCACAGCCCTCCCCCCGCCCCATTTTCCCCACAGCTAACGGGGCTCCTCTGCGGAGCCTTAAGGAGTTCTCTCCCCCCACACAGTGTTTTTTCCTCCGAACAGACCTCTGCCGCTTTGCAACAACACAACAGACCCCCGTCATGAATGAAGATACCACATCACATGGGGGTAGGGAATGAGGGGTGGAAGAGGAGGAGGCTTCCTCCCCCGACAGCAACACAGACAATAAATACCCACTCCCCCTCCGGCCCTTCGGTATGCACACACCCCCTTCCAGGAGGTGCTACGAGGGCGGATCGTGGCGACTGGTGGGGACCTTGGCTTTGTGGGGGCGCGAAGAGACTGCCGAGGAGGAGCCCGAGGAGGAAGAGGAAGAGCTGCTGCTGCGGCGGGCTTCGGCCCCAGTGCTTGACATCTTCAGCTTGCGGCGCTTGGCCAGGGGGGCGTTCTCCACGCTCTTCAGGAAGAAGCCTTCACGCTTGCCCTTGTTGAAGGCCTGGTTAAGGGGATGGAGAAGAAGAAGAAGAGATTAGATTTATACCCCGCCCTTCACTTGGAGTCTCAGAGCGGCTTACAAACTCTTTTCCCTTCCCCTCCCCACAACAGACACCCTGTGAGGTGGGTGGGGCTGAGAGAACTCTGACACAAACTGCTCTTTTTCAAGGACAGCTGTGCCAGAGCTTGTGACTGACCCAAGGTCACATCAGCAGGTGCAAGTGGAGGAGTGGGGAATCAAACCCGGTTCTCCAGATTAGAGTCCGCGCACTTAACCACTACACCAAACTGGCGAAGGGAAAGCGACAAAGATTATCCCCCATACACACACACACACACACTTCCTCCTTCAGAGCCAAGGTGGGGCCTGCTCTTCCCTTCCTACCAACTCTCTTCATGGCTGATTCCCCCCCCCCTTGCTCACATGATTGGGGGTGGGTGGGAAGGTGGAATCAATTTTTCCCCACCAGCATTCCTGGCTGCCGTTTAACCTCTCGAACAGAAATCCCATCATTCTGGCTGAAAGCAAAGCGCTCCTTTGACAGGCCTGCATTCCGTTCTCTGTGCTGATCAACACCTTGCAACGGTGTGTCGCTCATCTGCCAGCTGATCAGCACTTTGCAGCAGACCTTTTGCTCCTTTGCGAGATTCCTCTGCCCCTGCACCCAAAGGGAGGCCCCATTCACTTTCAGTCGCGGAGGATCTCCAGGCAGGGCAGGGCTTGACTACCTGGGCTTGCTCTGAATGCAGGGCTAGACAAATGACCTGTCCCTGTTCACTTCCACTGATAGGCGATCTCTAGATGGGGCTTCCTGCTTGGACTTGCTTTGGGCGCAGGGCTAGACAAACGACTCTGCTCGGCTACTTTGAACTCTCCCGGCTCCACTCCTGGGCCTGCCGGCTTCGAAGCCACAGGGGCAGGGGTCATTTCCTGCAAGAGCGCACAGGAGCGGAGCTCCGGCAGTAAAGAGCCCAGGGGGTGGGCACACGCAACAAGCCCCACCCCCTGCTCCCAGCAGCCCTCAGTCAGAGCAAGAAGCAGCCAGGTAAGTTGCAGAACTCCACCGGTCCAAGACAGTCCAGTGGCACCTTTAAGACCAGGTTTTATTCAGGTATAAGCTCTCCCTCCTCTGTGAGGGCAGATCTGCATGTCCCCCCATAGCTAGCAATCCAAAACAGTCCAGTGAAGCCTGAGCGGTGGGTGTTGCCTTCTGACACACTTCCGGTGATGTCAGGGGGTGTGGCATATGCAAATGAGTTATGCTAATGAGCTCCTGCACCTCTTTTTCTACGAAATGACCCCTGCACAGGGGTGTCACGGCACTCCTGCTCCGTGACCGTTATTCTTCCTCCAAGCCTCCCCACGCCACTTCCAATGAGGTCCCCTTTCCCAGCTCAGGAATCGCATCTCTTACCATAAAGGCAGCGTTGACACCAGTTCGCACGGCGGGCCCTGAGCTCTCCAGGATATCTGGAGTCATGAGAGGTGTGGAGGAGAGGGCGCTGCCATCTTGGAGCCACTCGCTGTAGCGCAAGCTGGACATCTTAAGCCGCTTGACAGGGTTCACTGTGAGGAGACCTGGGCAGAAGGGCGAGGGGGGGGGAGGAAAGGGAATTAACAAACAGGGGAAGGAAGGCACAACCCCCACCTCTGCGGCAGAACAGGAGAGGCTGAGTTGTTACCCTGGAACGCACTTTATTGGGTGCCTCAGTGTTTATATGCAGCCATGGAATAAGATCAAGATGGGTAGTCGTGTTAGTCTGCCTGGAGCAGTAGAAAAGACTCTCCCCCTTTTCTCCCGTGGAATAAGATTATCCAGAGGATTGATACACTAATAAGACCCGATTATATAATAGTGATTGTGTGCCATAAAGCGGCAACTGACGGCGACCCCGGGACCAGGGGGTTTTCGAGGCAAGAGATAAGCAGAGGCGGTTTGCCATTGCCTGCCTTTGCACAGGGACCCCAGAATTCTCTGAGGTCTCCCATCCGAGTGATAACCAAGCCCGACCCTGCTTAACTTCCAAGCTCTGGCTGAGATCAGGCTAGGCTGGGCTATCGGGCTGCTGATACCCGCTTATGTATCTCTGTAAAGCCTCTGTGAATTCAGTCGATGTGCATCGAGGAAGGTGAGTGGGTACAACTGTGCTGCCCCACTAGTGTGGGCTCCCCGGCTTGTGAGCATAGTGTTTACCTGAGGAGGAAGTCTTTGCGTGTGTGCTCAGGACCATTTGGAAAACAGCATCCCTAATCCCAGGGAGGGGGCACGAACACTAACATTTCCTTCGTCCAGAGGCTCATGGGGGCCAGCGGAGGCAGGACCATCGTGTTCTAGCTGGCTCCCACTCTGTGCATTTATTAAACATGTAATGATTTATTAGGCCGACCCCTGCAAGCCGAGCTCAGGGCAGCGTACATCAGCAGACTTTATCCAAGACTAGCCTGATACCCATGCTTGCTGCAGTATTTAAATTTCATAAATCCAGTTAAAATATTAATTATGTGAAGTTTGAAATGTAGCATTTGTAGGAATGGAGAAGATTATAGTGTAAAAATGAAGTAAGACATACTGGTTTCCCCACCACCCCCACCTTCTAATGAAGGACCTCTCTGTAGACCACATTGGTGGTTCTGCCCTCAGGTGCTAGGATCACCAGGCTGCTTGGTGAGCTCATTCTGGAGCAGGCCACATAAAACTGTCTGCATGAGAAGCAGTCGTCTGTATGCTCACTAAGAAGGGATTTTTAGAAATTCGACCCGTAAGGGGGTCAAAAGGGATAAAATGTGCTCCCCCCAATGCTTCCTCTTTGCACCTCCCAGTCTCTGATTGGTCGGCTGCAGTGGTATGCGTGGTATGAACATGACTCTCCCCGAACACTGCCAGTGAGCAGTGTGGCCTCCATGATGTTCCTGTGCAGGGCCTTCACTTGTAGTCTGGTGCCATTGCAGAGTTTGGGGGGATGGGGTTCTGCAGCAGCATTAATGTACCCTGGCCCTGCTCCTATACCTGACAAACACCCGCCTGTCTGGTATGGGGGGGAGTGTGTTTAAAGGCATCGGGGAGGCTGGGCCAACAGCAGCGCTAAGCCAATCCTTCTGAGCAAGCTCAGCTGATGACTTTAACTATTCCAACCCCTCTCCTACACTTGACAGGCAGCTGCCTGTCCAGTGGGATGGTGGTGGTGGTAGGGTATTGCAAGCTATTTTCAAGGCTGGGCCGGCAGGATTGCGAAGGCATCGCTGCTGGGGCAGGCTCTCTGATGGCTTTAAGCACTCTGCACGCACTGCTGCACCTGACAGACAGCTCCCTGTCAGGTGTAGGAGGTTGGGGAGAGCGTGTTTGAAGCCATGGGGAGGCTGGGCCAGCAGCATTGCTGCACCTCACGGGTGGTTGGCCATTCCTGATTTCCTCAACTGTCATTAGCTCTCTGCAGTCTCCTGTAACTGGTTTTTCCTCACCTCAGAACACTGAGCTCTGCAGCTGACCAGAGAGTGGGGGATGCAAGGAGGCAGCTGCCTGCCCACTGCATAGGAATCAATGGGTGGAGCACATTTCTCCCCTTCTGATACACTTAGGGGTTTAATTTCTAAAAATCCCTTCTTAGTGAGCACCTACGCCATGGTAGGAGCGCTCTCCCTGAATTTGGTGTCTCTAGGTCCAGTGGTTTGGCCTGGGCGTTGATTTTATGGCGAGGGGACTTTCTTTTATATAGATAGATAGATGGTGGTGAAAATTTCAAAACCCACCAGCCTACATATACACGCAGCTGCAATAATTCGACAAGCAACGTAAGGGGACTGATTGCACCATGTGGATGGCAAACAATCTGTTTGGCTCAATGAAGTCCACAGGCTCCTGACTTAGTGATAGCGGGTCCAAGTTCAGCATAGCAGAGAGCACCAATGACTGGAAAAAATGCTCCCAATTGCCCAAATTACTAGCGAGGGGCAGTGTTTCCTCTAAAATGAGTTAGTGTGAGCCAGCTCACAGTTCTTTAGCCTCCGGCTCACAGTTTTTGTCTTAGCTCAGGAAGGATGGCTCCAGAGCAAACTAACTTCTGCAGCAGCCAAACCGCTTGGTCACAACTTTAATGCCAGTAGCTCACAACGCAGAGTTGTTGCTCACAAGATTCCGCAGCTCAGAGGGAGCCCTGGTGAGGAGGGGGATGTGGAGGAGTGGGCGGGAAGTGGGGATATGAGCGTGCCAGACCATCGCTGCCCTCAACCAAATGCCTGGCGGAACATCTCTGCCTTGTGTGCCCTACGGAACAATAGTAAACCCTGCAGGGCATGGGTAGTCTCCGTGTGTGAATGGATCGTCTTAACAAAAACTGCCGGGTGCTGTGACCTCTACTCTGGTTCGACAGATGAGGGTGAATGTGCTGGAATGGAATCCAGACAAGACAGAGGGTAATGCCGCAGGAGAGTTCATCTGCTGTAGAGTTAGAGTTGCCAAGTCTTCCTTACTCACCGGTGGGGGACCGTCGCTTCGGGTCGGGAGTTGCTGTGGGATGTGCACGCGCTTTGCGCGCGTGTGCCGCCAGAACGTCACAGGAAGTGACGCAGGACGTAGAGCACGTTGGGGGTGTGGCCCAGATGTCAGGGGGGGGAACCATATGGTGTCCCCCCAACGATCTGGGCCACGCCCCCAAAGTGCTGTATGTCCTGCGTCACCTCTGGTGACACAGCTTCGGGGGGCGGAGTTCCCCCCGGGGCCCGATTCCACCGCGGCGGAAATTGGGCCTCCAAAGTGGGGGTTTCCCCGCCCCCTGCCCCCACTTGGCAGCCCTATGTAGAGTAGATGGACACCTTTACAGCTGGTGGGGCATCTAGTCCTTTATCACCACAAGCGAAGGCGTCCTGGTGTCCCTTTTGAGCTGGGCCTGTTTTTTGGAAAAGGAGTTGCTTTCTAACTCATACAGAAGCTCTTGTCTCTTCTAGATAGGCATCCCTTTAGCATAGGGTTACCATCTCTAGCTTGGGAAATTCCTGGAGACTTGGGGGTACAGCCTTGAGGAGGGCAGGGTGTAATGCCATAGAGTCCAACCCCCCCTCCCCCAAGTAGCCACTTCCTCCAGGGGCACTGCTCTCTCTCATCTGGAGACCAATTGTACTTCTGGGATGTCTCCAGGCCCCACCTGGAGGATGGCAACCTGAATCTGGCATGCTAATCCACACATCTCGAACCCTCAAGTCTTGACTACTGTTATGTAGTCTGCATGGGGCTGTCTTTACAACAATTTAGGAGCTTCATATGCCTTTTGTCTGGGGCAGGGTGCCAGGATCACACTTCACTCATTTTAGAGCAGCCGGTTACTGATTTGCTTCCAGGTGAAACCTCCCGGTGAGATGCTTTCAATCTTTAAAGCCTGTATTGGCCTGGGACACGGGTATCTGAAAGACCACTGCTGCTCCATATGCCTCCACCCACCTACCGATGTCTCAATATTGTTGTCAGCGTCTTAGCATCAACTCAGACAGGGGCTGGTCTAAAATCGTGTGACGCAGGCAGCCTACATTTTGCTGGCGTGACTGTCTCCCCTCTTGGGCCCTGGTGACCAGCCCACCCGCTCTGCTAAATTCAGAAAAGTCTGGCAAGCCCAGAGTGGTTTGCCAGCAGAGAATTGTGTTTGGGAGCGCTTGCAGAACAAAGGAGGGGAGACGGGCCGGGAAGAATAGGCCGGGGCAGGCCCCTTAATCATAGCCAGGAGAAGACAATGAGCGGTTCACTGAAGACCACAGTAACCCAATCAGGCATGACCACCATTGTTCTGAGCATTTCAATCTGATCAAGGATCTCTCAGACACAAAGGTCTGCTGCCTGGCCGTGGCAAACCAAAGGCCCACCCCCTCCCAGGTGCTTTCAGCTTGTAACTTAATGAATTTCCCTCCTGAAGCTGACGCCTCTCCCATCTCTCCCCCTCCTCCTTCATGCTCTCTTTCCTGCCATGGAAGCCCCTCCTGGGCATACCTCCTCCCCACCTCGAACTTCCCCGTGCATCCACTGGAAAGCTCACACCTGACTCCCCCCTGCCTCTTTCCAAGCCCAGGACAACCGCACCTTTCTTCCTTTCCCTCTCCAGCTCCTAAACCAGGAGCTGCTATCATTATTCCAAATGGTGCTCAGCTTGACTCTGGGCTGCGTAGCAGGGTGGTGGAGGTGGAGGAGTGGTGGTTCCAAGTCACTTGCCAAATCCAGTCCCGCCCCACAGCCTTCCTCCTCTGGAAGTCCTTTGTATCACTTCCCTGACTCACCACCTAGATCAGAGGTGTCAAACTAATTTGTTACAAGGGCCGGATCTGACATAAATGTGACTCCGTCGGGATGGATCATGTATGCCCTAGAATGTAATGCCAGGTCCCAGAGATAAAACTTTATAAAGGACAGCAGCTGGTAAGCTCTGAGTTGGTGTGTCCTCACTGCAAGGCCCCATGGAGCAAAGGGGTTTTGCTTGACTGCTTCAGACGAGGTTGTTCTGCTGTGCTGAAGCCACAATCGTAGGTGGCTCTGCCTACTCGCCCGCCCTTGAGTGGCCTCCTGTTCCCTCCCTTGCACCAGTGGCTCATGAGCCCGGATA